GAGTGAATAGGAAATGAAAAGGAGTTAACACGTCTTTAGGTTTTGAGTGATAGGTAGCTTCAGATTTCAATGTCACACTTCACAGACATGTAGTGCAGAAAATCAACTCTTCTTTAAATCCACCCATCTCCATCTCAATCTCAATCTCAATCTATCTAGGTGTGTGCGTGTGTGATTACATGTGTTTCAAAGATAGCCACCTTTACCCATTTTATAAATCACGCCAACCAATGATAAGCAACTTGCCTGTTACATCACCCTACAATCTATCAGAAGCTGCTAAGATGCTTCATTTTCCTTTCATTAGTCTCAATGTATTAAACATAAAAAAAAGACTTCAACTGAGTTAACTAAAATATTAAACTAATAAGAAAATACCTACCTAATAGGCATGCACCATGCAGAATATATTCGATGTGCTTTGTATATTGTGTTACATTAGTAATTAAAATAACTTCTCATTCATCACAAATAATATACATGTACCCAATCAAACAGTACCAAGGGAGTAGCTTATCAACTATTCTCCTAAGTAAGAAGAGACATCCTTTTTAGGATTCTATAACTGTAAAATTCTTTGGCTACAGATTGTTGCATCTGCCACTCCGTCAAAGGCGAAAATGTATGCATCTTTATTTCTTCCTATAAGTGTAGAAGTTTAGTACTTAATAGATATTGTAAAATCGTCCTCCTAGTTTTTGAAATTTGCTGTGTGAAAATCAGACCTGAAGGATTTATTTGGTGACGGCAAGTGGGTTATTTCGAGTTTGCGACAGAAAATGACTGTAAGTTTCTTCTTGGTGCATAATTTTGTTTTGTTGGTTAGTACGTAACATGAGCATTCTGTTGCCAGCTATTTAGTAATTTACCTAACCTATCTTTCTTCAGGTAGAGTCTGATGATTCTTGTGCAGATAACGAAGCCACATTGGCTAGGATGAACACCTTTCTTGATGATGCGCTACGTTCTTCTTGTGAAGGAATCATGGTGAAATCCCTTGATATAGATGCTGGGTACACACCATCAAAGCGCACTAATGCATGGTTAAAGGTGTCGCCTCGAAAAATGATATATTGCACTAGCAAGATTAGAGCTCTAATCCTAATCCTAATCCTGGGACTTGTCTGCAGGTCAAGAGGGACTACGTGGAAGGGCTAAGTGATTCCTTGGACTTGGTTCCGCTTGGTGCTTGGTATGGGAACAGATGTTTGATGATGGAAAGGTAATAATGATCGACAGATCGATTGCTGCTTTTGTCTAATATTTTTAATTGATAAGAAGTAATGCATCGAAGCAAGTCAAAATGAATTAGTACTCAATGAAGGTCTACTTAGATAACAAGAGTCATAAGGGAAAGTGACTTCACATGATGGATACATTATCAAAAGTTGTATGATTGACTATGCGCTTAATGAAAATTTTTCTTCTTATATTGCCTTTATTAGTTCTATTTTCAATTGCCCAACTTTACATGTTTCTATGTAAAATATGTATACACGTTTTAGAATGCGTGCGAAGAAAAATTCTTCCTTTTCTTCTCTTTTTCTTTTTGTTACATCGCAGGGATGCGAAAAGGAAAGGAGGAGGAAATTTGTTTGTATAGCAAAATGGTGGAGTTCTAAAATATTATTTCGGCTCTATCTAATCTAGCTCTACTGGTGGATGACTTTGCTAACGGTTCTGTTTATGGTGCAGTTGTGCTCACTAAGTCTTAAAAATTGTTAATAACATTTCATGATTGTTTTATGTCTTGGTCTGTTGTTTTTCAGTTGCAGTTGGTCATACAAAATGTATAAAAGTTTTATTCCTGTTATTTACCATTCTGGCTATGGTGCTGGCAAGTTATAATATGATCGTCAACGGATCTCTCTGTCAATATGAACATTGCTCTTGAGCTTTGGTGGGGAAATCACAGTTGTTGAACATTGTTGATGTTTTAGATGATTTCTTTTGCAGATTACGACTTCCAAGGAGGCTGAGAGATTCCATCATTTGTTTGGATTTGGTGCAAGTGTTGCTCACATTTTCTCTTGCACGGTGAAGTAGTTTCAAGCTTCTTTGTCTCCTTTGAAGTCATCGTGGTTCTTTATCAATATTTTTTTGATAAGATGAAATGGATTTGTTGTGAATTTAATCTACAATGGATTGTCACCTATTTAACTTAACTTTAAATTGCCTCTACTTGCCTCTTTTCTTATATATGCTATTATACACACTTCTTATCTCCTAGCTTTCCACATAACTTATATTAACAGGGTCTATTTTGAGAGAATATTGAAGAAGACTTTGAAATTCCCCTTAAGACATTCCACTTAAATTAGTATCATTAATTATGTTGACATGTAAAGTTCACACCACTTTGCTGTCTAGGTCGAAATAATGTTAAAATACTGTCCAAGGTCATTTTCTTGTGCCTTTCTTTCACAAGATACAATGTGAACCATGTAAATAGTATTGATTTCATTTTCATTTTTGGGTTGATGCCTGTGCATATATCTGGCATTTTCACCCATATTTATTGTTTTCTTTCTTTCTGAATGACATGTCCTTCCAGACGCTGCTTGTGGGATTACACTAATTTTTTTTGTTGTTGAATGACATGTCCCTAGCTGTTGGATTGGGTAACCTTTTCTTTGAATTCTAATTTAGCGTTTGCAAATTAACAGAACTTTAGAGTATATTTTTATGGTAACCAAACGAACAACAAAGTATTAACACTTGCTATATTAAATTTTTATCCAACTGTACATACACCAAAATACAAAGGTAAAATATGGGAAAGATTTTGCGAATTACTTATTTATGAGACAAAATTAACAATTTAAGTCATCTGATAAAAAATCAAAGGCAAAAAAATATACTTTGCAACAAAGTGTGCCTCTCGAGGATTTGCATCAATTAAACAACAAAGAGAACAAACTGAAGAAGATTCATAATAAGCACAGTATCACCAATATCAGATAAGCTCCGCCGTCCGTCAATTCCCAGCTTCCACCTTTTGGCTCCTTGCGCTTATTGATCTCATCCTTGCAGTTTTCTGAATTTACCGTTTGGATCGTTGTTTCTTGTGAGTTTTCTTCTCCTTCTTCGCATACCGTGTTTCTCTATTTAATTTTTCATGGCATGTTAGGGCTTTATTCAACAGAGAGTTTAATTTTTCCAACGGCTTTGTCTTTAGGTGTTTGAGGCAATTCCTGAATGAATTAGGCATTTTTTTTTATTTCTACTATTGTTTTAGGTTTATTTTCTCGATTGTGAAATAGTTGGGGAAACCTGCGACTAAATACTAACAACCGCTTTTGCTTTCAATTAGACAGTACGGATTGAACTAAACCATCCATGCCTTGTGTCTTTTCTCAATAAGAAGAGAAATTTCAATATTAAGTTTGCAATGAGATCTTTAATTGTTTGTTTTCACACTTGGTCTTCGTGAATCAGAGTTTGAAGCTTTTAACATGTGCATGTACAATTTATTTTTTGTTCACATTGATAAGCTGTTAAATCTGTAAAAGCCCAGATGTTCTCAAAGTCTTGCTATTCCATGTTGTTTTATCAGTATAAGCTACTAAATAGCTATTTGGGTCTGGTAGTATCTTCAATTTGATATAGGACATAAAAAGGAAATATTTTTTTCATCAAACATTATTGTACATGCGTACACTTATTTTATGTACTAAGATTCTTTCCACATATATGCACAATCCTTTAAATCAATTAAGAAGATAAACAGAAATAGTAAATGAAATCAAGCTGTTGGGATTAGCATTTGGTAGTCAGCTTACTGAATGCCAATTTGAAAAAATAAGTAAACTTTCTTAAGATTTATTTCCTCGCTGTTGGACAATTCACAATGTTCTGTTAATGTAAATGCTATAACAGCCACTATCCTGTGTGCATGTCCGGAGTGCTTGTAAACAACAAAATTTAATTTATCACACTTTGTCTTCAGTGAGATTGTAACTTGCATCATACAATATGTACGATGACCACACTGAACAATGATTGCACAACTATTACGCATAACTGATTAGACAAAAAATATATTCAATGACATACAGATTGTTCTATTTGCTCCAAATAGCTACAAAATTTCAAAGAATATATAATAACCAACATGAATTCATACACTTAGAGTTGAATAAAAAACAAATAAGCCAAAACTACTTACTGCAGCGAGGACGTAAGACATCATATAAACCTCATGATCGATAGAGTGTCTTGAGTTCAACAGAAAGTAACACATCATCTCTTAAGTATGTTGGAAGCTCAATTATGCTGTTGCAACATCATACTAATCTAATGCTAAAACACCACATTAATCAGAGAGGAAAGTAGCCTATAAAAAAACGGGGTAAACGTAAAGAGGAAAGTTTAGTGTTCAGGGAAATTATTTGCCAAAGTTCCAAAGTAGAATTTTATTACTCCCTCCGTTTCATCTTAAATGAGGTACTTTCCTTTTTAGTCTGTTCCAAAACAAATGACACATTTCTAAATTTGGAAATAATTCAACTTTAAACTCTTCATTTTGCCCTTTTTGCCCTTAGTGAGAAGCTTTTATAGCCACACAAATGGCATGGCCCCACAAACCTTTTACCCCTTAAGCTTTTAAGACCACAACTTTCAAAAGTCTTCTACTTTTTTGTTAAACTCTGTGCCGAGTCAAACTTCCTCAAATATATGAAACGGAGGGAGTAATAATATAGGGACTTAGTAGACCCGTTTGTGCCACGGGAAGAATTAAATGATAGTTGCAGCACTAATAACCAAAGTCGCATACATATAAAATGGCAACCAGTCGTAGAAACTCATGACAAACCCCAGGAAAGTTGTTATGATAAGTAAGTGTTAAATTAAAATATTTCAAACCACCCAAAAGTTCTCGTGACTAAATTAGTCTTACATTAAAGTATTCCTCTATCGGATGAAGAAGTAAATAGTGAAGTTCAACAAATTTTCTCATTGTATTTCTGTGGGTAATACATTAATCTTTAATAGATATAGTGTTCCGTGATATTAAAAATATAATTTATGTCTTTTTGAAACATTTCATTAGAACTTCGGTTGGAAATATTTATAGGTGAAAAGAGAAGTTGAACTGCCGCGATTGATGGATTCTAAAGAACCAAACAAGTACTCATACGCTGAAAAAAAGAAGGCTGCAATGCAGCTTAAACGGCGTGACACGCAGAGCCAAATATCTGCTCATAGAAGGGAAGCAATGTTGCTTTCGCGACGTATGAGAAGACAAAATTTTGCAAAGCACAGACCTTCTTGAAAGTCTGATTGTTGCTGTCCCAGAGCAGGCAACATCATCTTGGGACAAAGCAGGATTTCTAAAACAAGCCACTCTTACCATACGAGAACCTCCTTACCTTGCGGAAAAAGGTTGAGAGTGTTGTACTCATTTTAGAAACCATATGTTATGGATACAATGGTGCTTATGTATTCTGTTTGGAAACTTAGTATAATACCTTATTTATGCTATGTGCCTATAAGATAAAATA